TGGCAAAGAATGCATAATACAATAGTGATAACGTCAGTTTTGATAACGGCGATTTCGAGCTTCAATTTCTGATCAAGATATGATGGCGTTTTCCATCAAAACTAGGATGGAGCTGGCCAAAGTTCCAAAAATAATGGAAAAGTTCCAAAAATATCTGCATCAATGGCCCCCAAACCAGCTTTCTTTAAATGTCCACTCCAAGTAGATTTACTCCTGGCCATTAACCTACACCGTTTCATAATCTTGGTATTGATTTCTTGGGTATGTTTTCAGATTTGTCGTACACCTCTTGCACCAAAATGCAAGATGACCAGTCTCATTCCAATGCACCCGTAAGATGCCTCATGTTCTTGTTTGGCCAACGACAGGCTCAACGCCTTTATTCTTGGTCACAATGAATTTGTGGACCTCATCTAGATAGTTTTCAGATCTGAGCAGTTAGTCTAAACAGCATATGAAGAAAGAAAAATTTCAAATAATTCCTCCAGAGAGAAGTATTGACGGCTAAAACAGAATGAAGACAAGTGAAGCAACATCTAAAAGGGCGAATCCTTTGCCTGTGCGGCACATATAGTTGTACGATAATTATGCATGACCTACTCAACGCCCTTCGAGGGCTTTAAATACGTTAGGAAATGGAATACGTTTTCCCCATCCCTGCGCATATTAAGATTTCAGCAAATAAAGAATCCACCCGAGAAGGTAGCCCTTTTCAGTTAAAAAAACAAGTATACAGAATAAACTCTGAACTATACTGTTTTGCATTTAAAAACCTTCTCCTCACTGTCACATTTTTGCGACTTCCTAACGATTTTACACTACTAAATCCAACTTATTTATTCTTTTAGGTACCCTATCAGGAATATCAAGAAAGGGAATTAAGGTTACTTAGCCATAAAATTCTTACCCACACATTTTTTACACTTTAATAAACAATTTAAAGAGAGCATGATTTAAAGGCTGAAGTAAATAAATCTTTCTCTTGATCATTAAGATTTCATGTGGCATAGCACAACTCTGCTACTGAACCAGCTTAACTAGAAGAGCCCGGCGGTCATACGAAATGACCGCTGTTCTAGATATTATACATTGTAATTAAAATAATTTGTACAAAGGTGTCTGCTGATTCAAACTGAATTACCCAGGGCAGGCAGCGAGGACGCCTCTTTGCTTACTGCCCCACGGGGTTTCCCCCTTCTACTTGCTTAATTGCTTAAAGTAGATTGCAATGAAGGAAACCACTGGCGGTACATTTCTTAATAGCCACCGCTAGCTCAATAAATAAAGGTGAGTCAAATAATAAAATGTCAATTCACATGTCAAAGATCTCTTTGCACAACATTTCTTGTGTAGATCTTTCCATCACTTTTAAGCTTGCCTTGCAGAGGACCATCCATTATTTTTAATTTTACGTCCGTTCTTTCACGAACTCTTGAACAGGCAACATAAAGTTGACCGTGTCCAAATGCAGGCTCAGGTAAAAAAAATGCCAAAACGCTTAAGCGTTTAACTTTATTGATGGTCACAGCAAAGGCAAGTTTTACAGGAAATTGTCTACGTCTCAACTGAAAAGGCAACCTTGTGCCACGGCAACTTCAACCCATTGGCTAGCACAGTTACGCAAGCAACCAATAAACTATCGGTGACAAGCACACACTTAAGCCGCATATAATAAAGATATTTATTTAATTCATTTTATTTGTTTTTTCATAGTTGCCGGTTGCATATTTCCGAATTCAATTATATATAGATGTTAAATTTATTTATGAAATGTTAAATGCACGTGCTCTTGTATTTTTAATTTTTCCGGATTAGCTTTCTCATAATATTCGTCACGCGCTGCACTACACGGGGAATAAAACAATTTACAGTTACGCAAGCAACCAATAAACTATCGGCGACAAAGCCGCATATATATAAGAAGTTCCACTTTCAGACTTAAGCCGCATATATATAAGAAGTTCCACTTTCAGAAGACTGTAGAAAAAGACCGCTGAACAAAATAACTTTAAATTTGACCTGAATACACACGAAACAACGGGAATTTGTCTACAGAAAGAAAAGAAAAAATGGTTCAATATTTTATTAACAGATGATGCTGTACGAGTCATAGTATGCTAAAATTAAAAGATGTGGCATGCGCACCACTCATTACATATTATATACTTATTATACTATACCACTTACTATACTATTGTTACGAAATGTACAGGCGCGGTGAGATGGCTTCCCCGCAAAGCAGTTTTAGGGTTGCCATAAAATGGCAAGGGAAGGCAGGGTTGCCACATTTGGCGAGAAATCCTTCTCGAAACGAATTCTTACCGGTTTAGCCCAGAATGTTCTCGAACACAAGCCGAAAGCTATATAAACCCTGCTGGTCCGCAGTCAGTTAGTATCGAGTGTGTGCCTCGTCGAGAGGGCGAGTCAGTCCCTGCGGAGTGGATCGAGTTGACAGCCGGGCAGCGAGTACCGACTGGGTCGTACAGTGCACCGCAAGCCTCGTAGTATATCACGATTAGTGCATCGTCGAGAGAGCGTGTTGAGCTCCGGGAACGACTGAACCTGTACGAACTGTACTCGTGTGTCGTCGAGTGCATCGCGAGTTGTAGCGTGGAGAGTCTCGAGAGTACGTGAAGATCCGAGAACGACCCAGCAAAGTCGGGAGCTTTGCAGTGAAGCTGTTTTTACCGTTATTGCCTGACAGTATGAAGGCTGTGTCACTTATTGTTCCAGGGTGTTTAGAGTAGATCTTCGACGACTGTAAAAAGTGTTATTGGAGCTGTCCTGATTAGCATTGGCTAAATAAAGTGTGTTTCGATACTTCATCAAGTGTCGTCGTTATTTACTCCAAATCTACGAACCCAGTACGAACATGAAGAAAGAAAGTAACGTAACAACAGGTGTCAGAAAAGAAAACACGTAACACTATTACATATTACACTTAGTAAAAACATGATTACGTGCAGTGTCCGTTATTCTGCATTCAAAAAGCTCGTTATGAAGGATCAGGCTCTACTTCTGAAGCTTTTTTTACAAGAACGATAACTGTGCTTCAATTGCTTTGAACAAATTCCGGATAATAATGGCTATAAGATACGGCTGTGGTCCAATGTCTGTCAAAACCTGCGGAAGACGATTCGAAGAGACCTGTTTATTTGGCATGATATCTTGTAGAGGGAGAAAAGTAAGTGGCTTCGCTGTCAGTGAAAGAATTGCACGAAGAGATGCGAAATGGTGCGGGAATATGCAGTGCAAGGAGAGTTGCCTGATCTTTAGGCATGCCTATCAACATGGTTTATGAATTTCTACAAAACATTCTACAGTGGTATTCATTTAAAATTACCCAAATTCAGGTGTTGCTTCTTAGTGACCTGTCAACACGACAAACTTTTGCTCTGTAATTCCTTGCTTGGATGGAAGTGAACAATGCATGGATAATTAATGCAAACGAAGACCACTTCCATTTCGAATGTTCTGTCAATGCTGCCATTGCGCATGTCAAATGGAAACTTCAATCCGTTCGTCAAGGTTTCAATATGAGTCAGCAGTTAGTGAACTTACCACTGGGCTACTCTGGCGTCTATAAACTTTTTTTGGCACTGAAGTGAACATCCCTCCATTCTACTTTTTTCGCTGCTGAGCTTACAGAAGTACTTTTTGTTGAGTTTGGAACTTCAACCGCCAGGATAATTCATGTCATCCATGGTGTAATGCAATTTTTATTAGTCGAACTGAATTAAATAATTCGGTAAACTACATCAACCAATAAGCAAATAATAGACTTCATGAAATTTTAAACACATAATTTACGAAGAATAATCCTATAAAGCATGCCATCCTTCCAATAAGACCAATAAGACCCAGTGTAAACCAAACGATTTTTATTAACCGGACTAAAAACTTGAAACTCGAACTGGGGGGGGAGAGGGAAAAGAAAAGAAAGAAGTGAACTCCTTTAACCTACATCGATGGCACACAATTTCAAACAGATGACTAAATTCTGCAGCTGTTATTTTCTAAAAGCCGCCTTTGGTGAAAGTACACAATCACCATCATCTTCAACGCCCTCTTCCTTTAACTAATGTTAGGAAGGCGTCTGTAATTGCACTCCTTTGGAAAAAAAAGGTGGGAATAAAATTAAAAAAAAAAACTAACTAACAGTTAGAAGCCCATTTTCGTCGGGCTGGTTCCAGAAATGAACACATTAGCAACCGCCAAAGTGAAAAGAAAAGCATCTCGAAAAGCTCGACTGATTCTTTCTCGTTCGCCACCACTTTTTTTCTTTTCACCAATCGGTCGCTATTTAAGCTTTTCTGTCGATTTAGTTACTGATTACGGAATGAAGAAAGAAGGCGATAAGTAAAACACTTTTTTAATTTTTTTTTAAACTTCCTTAAAAAAAGAGATTAACCGCTCTGTACGTTTGAATACACACTCAACCGCAAATCCGGGAGGCGTAATGGCAAACCGCACATTGAGTTGATCAATGTTAAACGAATTTCGCTTACTGCGCATGCCCAAAAGAAAATTTGGCGCAGTTACTACTTTGGCGCAATTTTAATAGAAGATAAATACGGTGGTATGGTCGATATTGTGTTATCTTGGCCGTAAACAGTTCGAGGTTTTAAAAACGTGTCAGGTTGTAAGCTGCTTCATTACTTGGAGTGTAAATGTTGATTGTAAACTACCCACATTTTCTTTTAAAAAGGACTACAGAACAGGAAACATTACAAGATATATTAGCTGATTATACTTTTGAGGAATAAAAACAATTGAGTATTTACCATACGTTCCATTCATACATACTTTAACAAATTAAGGATTAAATCTAGTTTAAATTACTGAATTAAAGGTCAAATAAATTATTGTAAGTAAATGAAATAGACTGTTGCAATTGTAAACAGTCGATAAGACCTACATGACAAACAGACTTGTGTACGGTTGCTTATGCTTAGTCGCCAGTGTTTTCTTCCACGCCAGCGGTAGACCATTGAGCATGCGCAGTAAGCGAAATTCGTTAACATTGATCAACTCAATGTGCGGTTTGCCATTAAGCATCCGGGAGGAGGAGAGGCTTTCCGTTTTCTCGTTTGAAATTCGCAGGTGGAGGAGGGGGGACTTCAGATCTGCGGAAGAAAATGTAGAAATTTGGTAGCTTTACAAATTACTGCGAATACTTTGACTAAAAATGATAAACTAAACATTTCATGAATCGTTTCCTACTGCGTTAGAAAGACGATAAGGAATGATTAATTTAATATACACACGGACAATAAATTTGCAAGTCAAATTTTTCATAAGTTGCTATGGTTTTCATCCATATCTGCCAATTATTCCCATTCCCTTTCTTTTTACCACTTACAAATAAATTCCTTTTCAATAAATAAATTTTATTTTGATGATTTTTAAAAATGGCAAATGTAACTGACCAAAGAACATGTATTAATTTTTTTTTTTTTTTTCAATAGAATTTCAGCTATAAAAAATGCTTGAAGTACTGCGCTTCTGAGGAAAACATTTTTTTATCAAAAACATGACTTTCTGAGTTATTTAGGATGTTTACGAAAGGAAGAGTATCAAAGATGATTGGTTTACTTAATCAAAGCAAAGCATAGGAGGGCTATCTGCTTAAGGGATGGGATACCTTCATGGAGGACTTTCTAAAGGAAACTGGTTCATATCCAAGTTAAACATGAAAAAAACCATGAACACCAATCATGCCGCCAGTCCGTTCGCCTGGAATCGAACCTATGGGGAGGGTCGGCAACCGTGAGAGTGAGCTATCCCACTTTCGCACCTAATCGGGCCCTATTCCCCCGAGCTGGCAACTCGTAATATCCATATGGTGGGAGTGGACAGTATGGGGGATATTAGCTGTCTTCACAGTGACCTTGAATCACCGTTTACACGGTGATCAGTTCAGGCTCGGCAGGGCCTGTACGGTACTGTCAAGTCTGTCTTGGACTGTGTGACTGCTACAAATTAACTAATAGTAAAAGGTTGTCCTTGGGGATTTTCGGCCTCCCGGGTGCGGGTATATAAAAAAACCTGCATGAGTTAATCGATGAACTAGATCTAGGTGTCTCTCCTTCTGGTATAACGATAATAATAATCTGAATAAACTCAGAGATTCACCCGTTTAAATAGTCACTTCGCTTAACTTTAAATTTCCATCCTGGCGAGAAAATGTGTGGGGAAGTTGAGCAGTTCAGGAAAGGTCGTAGAGACATTAGGTTATTTCAAAGCAGGAGACGTGAAAAATGAGGAATGCCCTCGCCAGGACTCGAACCAAGGACCTCTCGAATACGCGTCGAGCGTGCTGACCACTACACCATGAAGGCATGCTAAGAAGGAGGAAGAAATACCGTATATACTCCCCCTTTTAAAGGGCGACTAGGGATTAGGGGACCCAATCGCCAAATCCTGGTGGTGGAGAATCATCATCCACCATCTTTTAGTTCGGGCGCCACTGTATATACATTAGGTTATTTCGAAGCAGGAGATGTGAAAAATGAGCAATGCTCTCGCCGGCACTCGAATCACGGATTTCTCGAATACGCGTCGAGCGTGCTGACCACTACACCATGAAGGCATGCTAAGAAGGCGGGAGAAATACCTTATAAGATATCAAACTTAAAACAAATTTGTTATGCAAAATAAGGGAAACTCTACAAAAGTTAAAAAGCGTCTTTGTGCACAAATATATTACACTGAAGAGAAGTAATTACTTGCGACAACATTTTCTGCTAGTTTTGCGTCTATATTTCTCATGCGTAACCACATTACATCAGTTCTCTATTTATATTGCCCAAGCGTAACTAAAAATATGGAAGACTGGCTCTTTTTCTTAAAAACAAATTTTATGGAATCATCGTAATTCATTTCGTAAATTGATCTCATTCTAAAAAAAAAAAAATAAAAAATAAACAAATTCTTGATTTCATGAATCTTTAGGCAATGAAGCTGTTAACTGAGTTTGCTCTAGCTGGTGTTTGCGGACCACAATTTAAAAACAGTTGATAAACGAGGAGGAGAATGAAGACTGTTATTACACCTATCACGTAACTACGTGTGCAGTTATTATACTTGCCTCTCCATTGCCGAAAATCCAGGTTTATCATGTGGTCTGGCTGATGGAAAAACTTGAAAAACAAGATAGCTAGTTATATTTTATTACTAAGACTGGCACGTTTGTTCAAAGTATCATTCTGAGAGGGAAAGCAAGATTTGAAAATGGCCTTAAAAATATATTCTTACATATCTCTGTACTTCTCACCAATATATTTTTTATAGGCCCTGGCTTATTCGGATTCAGAAAAACGTGAAAATATTTTAACACTTTTTTAATCGATAATTGCTTTTCGTTAAGAGTTGAAACATTTTGTAGTAAGGTGGAATTACAGAGAACAAGGTGAAAAGGTGATACATAAAAAATTATTTGTGTATTAACCCCTTCGAGCCGGGTAGCGAAAACGCGCGCTTATCCCGGAGGCCGGCAGTGTCTTCCGCGAGCGTCTCTCCAGGGCCGGGGGCTTTGTTGCTACTAAGCCTAAATCCATGAAATTTCCGAAGTATCAACGCATTGTTTAATAATGCTCTATAGAGTATTTAAACGGCTTATGCTTTATAGATATTTTTATATATATACTTTAATTACCTTATTTCTTGTTTAAATGCAATTTTTACACATTTTATTTCATTACTCACCATTTTATGAATTTTAACATTATAATCTGAAAACTAAATATATTACTTAAAATTCTCTTTTCGTATGAAAAATTTGAAAACAGGGATCTACACACAGTCCTACGTTACATTCCTTGAACTCGTAATAACTCATTTGCCGTTTTGGAGGATTTTTCCGGGAATGTGAACAAACGAAGCATCGTCGTCTCATTTTCTTATCAGTCTCTTCTGAACAAAGTTTTGGAAAATGTTTTTCAGTTAATCTTTCAGAATCAATATCAGAATATCAGAATATCAGAATCAATATCTGAAATATTTTGCATCATTTCTGCTATTTCATGCTCTGTTAAACATTTTCGACGCTTCGACATTGAAACGGTAAAAACAGAAAAAACAGAAAGAATTCACGTCTAACAAGATCTAATTATTTTCTAAAAACTGAACTGCAAACCGAAATACCCAACGCTTTAGCGCAAATAAAACTTCTCTACTTACAGTAAACAACTACCACGTGCGAATAAAGTGCGATTTAAAGAGACGTCATAAATCCCGCCATTCGGAAACATTTAGTTCCCCGTTTGTTTATATAATCAAAAACACGTGTATGTGAGTCATGCTTCTCTCATTTCGAGTAGAAGGTCTAATGCACATGTATCTGAAACCATATGGACATACAGTCCCATCTTGTGGCAGAAATTATAGTTTGAAAAACGTTCCAAGGTACTGGCACAAATACGTAACAGTCGGTAGAGAATGCAACAACTCTCTGGCACGCCCTGCGTGTCGGCCGGTAGATAAGTGTGTTCGTTGCTGGCACGTATACGTGACAGTCGGCGCGAAGGGGTTAAAACGAATGCAAACTACTAGGGAATTGTTAAATTTTTATGCAAAAGTTCCCTAACAGAAAAGAATTGGATTACTCCAATAAGTTAAAAAAAAAAAACTTAAAAGCTTTGAGAGAAGGTATACTATATAAGGTATTTCTCCCACTTTCCTAGCGTGCCTTCGTGGTGTAGTGGTTCTGCACACTGGATCGGTATTTCAGAGGTCCATGGTTCGATTCCCGGCGAAGGCGGTTGCTAATTTTTCATCTCGTCTGCTTCCAAAAGATATCTAATGTCTCTACACTGGCGCCCGAACTAAAAGGGTGTTGGATGAGGATGCTCCACACCCAGGATTTGGCGATTGGGTCCCCTAAAATACCCCAGTCTCCCTTTAAAAAGGGGAGTATATACGGGAGAAATATATATATATTTCTCCCGCCTTCTTGGCTTGCCTTCGTGGTGTGGTGGTCTGCACACTGAGCGCGTATTTCAGACGTCCGTGGTTCGATTCCCGGCGAAGGCGTTGCTCATTTTTTCATGACTCCTGCTTCCAAAAGATACCTAATATCTCTACAAGATTTTAAAATTATGTATCGTTTAGAATGTGACGCAGAATACAGTGAGAAAGCTGCGGAGTAAAATCTTCTCGAAATATTAACAATTTGGTAGCAATTGAAAAATGGAGTAGGAGAGGTGGGAATAACCTGTAGTTATCCTGAACACATTCTCGATTTGAATTTTATGAATGAAATGGAAAATGTAATGCAGTCTTCCTCGGGATTGCTGGAGACCAGAGAAAGGGAGTGAAGCGAAGAAAAGAATGATACACTACCACACCAAACAAAACCAGATATTCAATAACAGCGCACACAAAATAACAACGCGATCGCTCCTCCAACTCAGAAACGCACGAGCTACCATTAAAAGCAATGATTTGCCTCCCAAACGTGCGATTTCACGGTGAGTGACCTTTAAAAAAATGACCGATACACAGCCATAAAACGGAGGATAAAAATGAAATTAAAAAAAAAAAAAAAAAAGTAGCTTTCATAGAGGATTATCACGTGCAAGCTACTTCGGCAGCATAGATATAAATATATGACAACAGAAATAATAATAATAATGATAAGAATATTTTCAGTCACGACGTTTTGAAATGAAAAAAAAAAAGAGAAAGAACACGATGGATTAAGAATATTCAAAGTGGATAAAACAGCTGGGAAAACAATATGATGCCGAGTTGTTTAGATGAGACCACATTTTAAGTATGTAAAAACGTGTACATGTAAATAACTTACTCCGACACGCGATTTTCGATGCAGAAAAATGACAAACCTCATTTTAACCAGATTGATTAGGAAAACTATTTGAAGACCCTAATTTAAACTAAATAAATAAAATGTTCTTAAAATAAACATCTTCCTGTTCTTTTACTACGCAATTAATAAAGTTCGGTATAAGTACTCTCAATTAAAATGGTATTCTGTTTCCATCCACGTACGCTAAATTATGTCTTGTATGACTGTAGCAAAGGCAGCATGTCATTAGTTTGCAACAGGTTGTTGCGTTCCACAAAAATGGCGTAGAACAGTTATTCCAGACTTACATTATGTGTACCACAACGCGCGTTGCGCTTATTAGTGCATAGTCGCCACCTTCATGTGAACTGGCTGGTTTAAAGCGTGATTACTGCTGAGCAAGGCTTCTAATTGGCGAATTCGCTGGTCCAGTTGTAAGGATCCTAAGTTTTACTAACGTTTATTTTATTTTAAAACTGTACTATCACTTCTTATTTTCTACTTCCGGCCAGAATTAAATGCTTTAACTTGTTTATGAAAATTGTCTTGCTAACGCCCAAGTATTTAAGTTGTGGCTTTTTGCCAAGAGTTAGCGAGAGAGAAGCAGATTTAGGAAGCAAGCGCTTGCCACTGCAGTTCTACGAGTTTTCACTCCGTTGCTGGTTGCCTTTAAGGCCAGAGGTTTAGCCCTCTTGATATTCGAAAACGTATTGTAGTTCAGCTCGGCGTACTACATACGTACCCTTTTAAATAAAGGCCAGTCTTAGTGCTAGGCATTTGTATACTAATTCAAAGTTAGCTTTAGTTAGTAGTTTTATATTCTTACGTTCAGACCACAAGTGGTTGGTCTCCGTATCCCGAAGTTCGGGAGTGCCTGTAAAGTATTGAAAATAAAGGGTTTCGTATATCCTTTCTGCTTGTGTTGTCTACTCCACACATTGTTGAACATAGCTTGAGTAAGCTCCCTGTTTCTATTCAGGACACATCATGTTTCCGAAGCAAATCAAGAGAAACGCAAGTCCTGACACAGTAAAAAAATTATTAAACCTTCTAATTTAATAATCTGTAATTTAACAATCAATTATTTTAATTTAGAAAACTTCACAAAATGTTTTTGCAGTTTCATGTTTTACTTTCTTTTCTAATAAAATGCTTTATATATATTTGTAATAATAAAATTCCATAGTTAAGAATACACTTAAATTTCTAACTGTATGTTCTTTTCATTTTTAATGGCGACGTTCTCTTATTTGAAAGTACGTGGAATTAAATCCACAGCCCCGTAGTCAAGTTTTTCCCGCCTTTTCTACAAGTACAGTTATAGAATGTTCTGGAAGTATTTAAAGCGAACTGGATTGGCTGACGAGGCTGACGTCATTTCTTGGAAGCTCCGCCTTTCCAGAGGCTGTAAAAGAATTCGCAAAAGGAATATCGGGGCTTTTTCTTAAAATGTCACGATGCAGTAAACTTCATACAAAAAGTTATTAGTAATTCTTTTTTTATTTACTCCGGAAATATGATTTTGCAACTGCTATTTCTCCTGACCAATAATAAATGGATCCTGTTTTTTAAACTTATCGTCTGATTATTTAAGCTACGATTAAAGCTGATACATCACATATATATATATATATATATTGGAACTGCGTTTCTAGCATATAGTAGGTGCGTACATATTTTCTTAGGGAAGCTTTAAATTTTATCGCCTAGGACGACATCCGCCTATACTTAAGATATATTGTTCTAAATGGCCAAACACATGTAATTTAATGAATTCGGAAATTATCATATCTATCGGTCTCCGTCTGATCACTACAACGTTTTCTGTGCAAACGAAAGTTACCTCGCTCGTTCTCGTCTTTGTCTTTACCCCTTATCTAAATCTCTGTCAAACCCGTACAAGTCTCCTTCTCACTCTTAGTCTCTTCTCACTCTCACACTTTTTCTTTTCTTCACTTATCTATTTAAAGTTTTCATTTCGATGATGTGGAGATAACTGTAATTTTATTACAAAGGTACTCCGTAAACAAAACGGCTACCTTACAATCAAAACGTACACACGTTCCAGTTGTTTTTCTCATAAAAATTTACGAATGATATGCCTTTAAAGCACAATATATTGATTTAAAATTAGGTTCATTGCTTTAAATGATCCTGTCCCTCCACATGAAAATATTACTGACACACATCTTGCAAAGATTAGAAACATAAAAAAATGCATTATTCACTGTTTAATGCATTCAGGATAAAGCTTAACTTCCATAGCCATTACTATAATCCACTACTTTGCTGTTTCGGTTTGTAACAATAAAATAAAAAGAGAACTTAAACTCCTAACAAAGCTCTCAATTCATTAATTAAAGGATTAGAATTAACAGCCTATAACATAACAGAACAAAAAAAAAATCTGATGAAGACACATCAGACTTATTAACATTACATATTAAATATTCTTTCTGGAACAAACAATAAACTGCTATTAAATATTGTTAGATATTCACAACAACAAAAATTATATTAATATCGTTAGATATTTATTGATTGACTGCATTCCCGTATCGATTAACTGCATCCACGTTAAAACGATTCAAAGAATCCAGAGAAAGTTTTTCAAAGGGATTTATGATTGTTGCTGGTTTTTCGTATAACGGCAAATTAAAAATAATGAGAGTGGACAAAAATGTTAAGATCAACTCCATATATTATCAAGAATATATTTTATAACAAGTTCTCAAATATGAAATGCATTCTCTTTACCCACAGTACCATCAAACTGCATCAAGACAAAGCAAGCAGCCGCACGTCAAAATCCGCTGTTAATTTCCTGGAAAAAGAGGAATAAGAAACCAGTATCAAGGCCCATGCATACCCTCCACTGATATCCCTAGTAAATCTCCTGATGTATCACAAATGGATTTTTGCGCTTTTGGACTTTTGAAAAGCGGACTTTGGAACTTCTTGGACTTTTGAAAAGCGGACTTTGGATCTTCTTGGACTTTGGAAAGCTGTTCAAGAGGAACGGAATAAAATACCTCTTCCGACACTACTTTTGTCTCGGAAATTACGGTGTAGAAAGATAGCGAAGAATACGGGTTATCAAATGAAACATTTAAAACATAAAAATTTATAAAATATTTCTTTAAATACAACGAAAATCGTTTAAAATGCGATTTTCATTATATGCACGAACAGCCTTTGTATACATCAAGTGGCATAATCCAAAAGTAAATCTGAATGTCATCAAAAGGAATGATAAACTAGAGCTCGATATTTTCCCGTAATTCATGAATGGCTAACAGCTCAGAGTTTTACACTGATATGTCATGTTCATAGCTCTTAAAATATCCATTCATCAATAATTACCAACTGTAAATCTTGCTATCCAATACAAAATGCAATACAGTGGTAGCTCGTTATGTACCAACAAGGTGCAATAAATCCCTTACAATATAGTCTGATCCCGATTTACTGGGGTAATAACGGGAACAGCAACCACGCTTAACTCAAAATTACGTTTAATCTGAAAGCAATATTAAACGGGAAAAAAAGTTTTTACTGCATAATATTTATACATTTCGGATTATGTGCTGGAATGGATAAAAAAACAACTCCCAAAAACTACAACATCATCTTCTATCACTGCTATTATCTAATGCATTTTTCTACTTCTGAATTTCCCATTCAAGAGTTTTATTTTATTTTGATGGTTTGTGATAATAATTTTGTCATCGTTCTGCAATAAATAAGCGTAACTTTGAGAAACAGTAACCGGTGAATCCTCAATCATATAGGCTACGTATTAAATTCATTTTCATTATTGCGATTATTAGTCGTTCTTTAGGATGCGAGAAGTCACGCTACGCAGCGTCAGTTAAAGGCGATGACTTCAGGTCAAATACTTAATGTATGAAGTCATTTAAAAACTTAATTATTGAAAATATTTTTGTAACTTTTTTTCTTTATCTTTAACAGAGTGAAACATACCACCTCATCATGTACAGCTTACCTCCAAAACGAAAAGCAGATATGGAATGGGTCCTGTTAGGATTATGCTTCTGGTCATTACTGCTGCTGGTCAGCAGTCAATGCCCATGGTCGCGTGAATTGGTCGACCTACATACGGACTGTGTTTGCGCCTACAGCAACAGCCAGCGACTATCAATTCAGTGCAGTCCAGTTAACTTCACAAAGCTAGTACAAACCTTAAAGTCATCTGTCAAGAACATTCCCATAGACCTTCTATACATTAGCAACAGCACCATCGAAATCCTTCAGAATGGAATCTTCGACGATCTTAAAATTCAAAGCTTGCACCTGTCCAAAAGCAAAATTAGAGACGTAGAAGTCGAAGCTTTCAGAGGGCTAGAAGAAAGCTTGAGTAGCCTAAATCTGCAGGATAATCTCATCAGGGAGGTTCCCACTGAAGCTATGGGAAACCTGACGTCGCTTCAGTTCCTGGACTTGTCCCACAACTTGATACGAGATGTGCCCAACGATGCATTCAAAGGTAATCCCAATATCTGGTAATATTAAAATAATTCTGGTTCCATTTATCTTATTATTATTGTTATTGTTGAGAGGCAAGACGAATGCTAAATTTCTTAAAATTCAAATTTTAAAAGTTCTCAAAGTTCTTAAATCTTCCTAATCATTCATATACGAATAATGAGATGAGAAGAGACTTTTACTTAATATTTAGAGTTTTCCATTACAACAAAACCTGAAATTTGCCTTTAATGAAAGACAGTTTTTAAACATTCACATATATTTCACATATATTTGTTACGATATAATCGAAATTTAGTAAATGAAGAACGTAATTAAACCAACTGAATATTGAAATTAATTTTTTCAATACAATTTTTAAAAAATGAGAAGCACTTAAAATATTTGACAATTCTTCCAATTCTATTTAGATCAAAATAACTGTATAGAGGTACAAAACATCAAAAGTTAAAATAGATAAACAATAATATGGAAAAAAAAATTTTTTTTCCAAAAATTTAAGTAGATTAGAAAGCTTGTTTATTTTAAGAGGTGATATGATATAAAAGGAGATGGAGACCACAGCAAAATTCAAGTACTTCTGAAATTTCAACAGTCCCATTCTTGTTTCAGTAATTATTTTTATTATAAAATTAAAATTAACATTAATTTTCTTTCTAGATTTTACACAAAATGTCAAAGGTTCCTTAGGTTAGGATTAGAAAATTTCGAATGACAAAAAATGCGAAAATTCGAGTTTTCAAATCCCGTACCAGTTTCAAGATTTGTGGGATTTGAGGGTCCTATCTTTATTCTTTATACTTAAATTGTTTAAAAAAAATTATCAATTTCCCACCCGCTTCATCTATTGCTGTTGCCAGAATTCAAGTCATTGCCGATATTTTCACATTACTTTCCAGCTTCAAATTATGAGTAAAAAAGGCAAAAGCAGACATTTTGTTTTAGTAGTTTTTAATTACTACCAGATGAACCCACAACTTTTATGCTTACATAACTAATATAGCATAAGATGTAAACTTGCATCTTAGAATTTCCCTTAACCGAACCAATTCGCCATTCCACTCTTCTATATCTTACATATTAAACTATTTTTAGGCCGATTAAAAACTGAAGTTTTAATTTACACTTAAAATAGCATATAAAAGAACAATCGCATTTCCCTATATATGCATGTCTTTGTAATATTATATCAAACACTTATAATAGTAAATACTTTATTAACACTACGACGTTCTTTCCTGATGAAGGAAAATTCAAATCTTTTTAAGAACCAATCCGAAGCAAGCCCGGATTTTTTTGGGAGGAGGAAGCTAAAAGAATTATTGTTGCTTTGCTTTTCATTAAAATATCAATAGCACGTTATGCTGGAAAAACATTATTAATAGTAAAGTAACTGACGTGTTCAAAAATGAATAAGTTCGATGGAATATTCCGAGATTTTTATGCGAAATCATCTTTCACAGAAAATGCAACACAACTTAATTCCGATAACTTTTAACCAGCAACACTGAAACAACATCGATTTAAAGGAAAAGCGAACGAGAGCTGTTTTATTTGCTTTAAAGAGAATTCTGTTTCTCTTAATAAAAAATTAGAAAATGTAGCAATTAACATACGGTAAAAAATACTGCACTCGTCAGTTCGTCTTTAAATTGTTCCGTCTAAAACCATAATTGTTTTACAAATAAAAAAAACTGCAAGCATCCGAATTTTGTTAATTTAAATCGAAGTTATGAATTTCAATAGATCTGGCAATGAAAATCACGACTACAGTTTAGCTGGTCTGCTTTCTTCGCAAATATTCGACGAGAATTTCAATAAATGACCAAAAAGCTGCAACTCTTTACGTACCGAGGTTAAAGCTACAATCTACAGGGACACATTTCAGCGTTAGGATCGTAATAAAATACCTTCAGCTATAATTCCCCCCCCCAACCTTTCCTGGATCATAATCAAGTTTATTCATTTTTCATCACTCTTTCAACCTTCTCCTCCCCTTTTTATATCAGGAAGTTCATTAATCCTCTAATAATATCTCTTCCTATAGGCTTACCACTGACGACGCTAAAACTCTCTGATAATCGCCTGAATATATCCGACTTTGCCTTCCGCGGGCTGGAAGGAACAGTTAAGAACTTGAACCTGCAGGCCTGTGAATTGACGGCAATGCCAAAAGCCATCCAGAGGCTGAAAGTGTTGGCATTTCTCGATCTCGCACAGAATAAGATCGAGGCACTAGAACCCGAGTTCTTGTCTGAAATGCAGTCGCTAACGGCGATTAACTTGGAGAGGAACAAGATAAAGGACGTCGACGAAAAAGCTTTTATGGGGGTGAATGCCACTTTGAGTACAGTGTCCCTCTTGAACAATATGCTCAGTGAATACCCAATGAAAGCAATCGAGATGCTGTCGGAAATAAGAGTGAGTTCCCACAAATGTATTTTTTTAATATTTTTCCCTCTTTCTCTATAATTTCAAACACACCAAATGAAATCATAAACCATCGAAAAGATGGACCTAATCTTAAGAATTTTTAAAAGAAAAAGTATTCCAAGCAAATTGACAATTTATAAACATAAAAGCTCGATTTTTTTTTTTTTTGGTAAATTAGTAAATTTTCGAATGGGTTCCACTGATTGCCCTGCAGGTACCTCTGTTTCCTTTGACATACATTGGATCCTGTCTGACATGATCCTAACAAAAGCAACAAATGATGCATTTTAAAATAATTGGCTAAGTCTCATCTTTTAGCAAAGAATTAACCATTTGCGCTAAAAAGACGTGCCACGCACGTCGAGACGCTTTTGTCTCAAACCACGAGTGACGTGAACACCACGTCGATAGGCATTTATCGCAAAAATGAAAATAACGTGGTGCACACGTCGCCTAACAACGAGATTGTTTATGTTTAGGAACATGCACGAACTCAGTTAATACACAATAATTTAATAATGTAGATTTTTTGTGGCAACAGTTATGTTTTTTTATATATTGCTTTGAGCTTGATAACTCACGGAATGTTATTCTTTTTGTAATTTTTAAAATGCTAAATAAATAAGTTCGTTGTTAATTAAAAAGGTTTTTCTCTGCGAAATATATTACCATTCGTCCGAAGTGATTAAATAAGTCAAGAAATGATTAATTTCAAACAGTTTATTTCTCGAGTTACAGCTCTGGATTGCACTCGCAGACGCGAAGCGGCGTAAATGAGACACTTTACCGCTTGTTAGATTATAGCACACGGCACCGCAACCGTGACGTTTAATCGTAGCGCAAGTGGTTAATGTGAACACTTATAACAGATTAAAATTCTTCTACCACGGGTTTTACGGTTGCTGCCTTCATTCGAAATGACTGGTTAACTATTAAGCAAAACTTCTAATCATGTGAATGTTAACTTCGTCTGTCCCTACAATTAAAACTTGGACATTTTCTAATTATTTTGACATAAAGACTAAGAACGATTTACGACAAAGTATAATATAGCAATCAAGTCCTTTTTTTCTTTTATAACTGTATATTTAACATTTCCAAGATTGCTCTATAAATGGAAGTTGCAATTTCGACATTAATTGCAAACTTAAAGCCGTATTAATGATCTCGCACGGAAGCAATACATCAACATGTCCTTTAAAGATATTTTAGAAAATAACGTTGAAAATAGCAAGAAACCGAGCACAGATTATTAGATGCAATCTTATCAATTAAGACAACACACTCAGTTTTCTCAAATTATTTATACTTTCCCAATAAGGTTCTTAGAGTTCAAATATTCATGCGAAATTAATTAGTTAACGTTTAGCAATTAATTAAATTTATGAATTCTAAAAATAATGTTTATTTGCTTTCATTCTTTTGTGTTACACTAATAATTATAAAATTAATAACAGAAACATCTAGAAATAGAAAACTGAAATAAAAATGCTACCTTCTATAAAAGGTCACTTGAAAAAAAGGCAGGTCTTTAAAGAAATTAAAAACGTACGCTGCAGAAATGTGTATGCACATAAAAATGCACATCTAAACGAATTATAAAATAAAAAAATTAAAAAGATGCTTAATATTTTATCAAAAAAACTTATATATACGCTTGCTAAATACGACATTTTTCTGTTTCAAAATTTTAGTGCTAATCCAAAGAAAACTTAACATGTAAGAGAAAATGTTGGTGTAAGTACATTTACATTTTAGCATACCCCTATATTAAAAGTCATTTTACAACATTTTGGCACACAGAGTAATATTTAGTAATAATTAATAAACAATATTTCGAATTCAAATGTATTGAAAACCACAAAAGCTCGACAGATTTTAGATCTTTATACCTTTCGTTATGATTGCCTAATAGTTGCAGCAAAAGTTCGATTTAGTCAATACATGAGGTTAATCATGAGTGAATTAATTCAAATACTATTAAAAAATATGGCATCTGAAAACTAAAATATAAGTGTTTTTAATATGAAGATAATCTTCCTTTTAACTATTTTATAACTTAAAAAATTTAGATTAACAATTTTTTTTTCATACTTTCAAAGGTTTTGGATCTGGGCTTCAACGGAATAACAATACTCCCACACGATGCTTTCAAAAGAAATAAATATTTGACACTGTTGGCTCTGGATGGTAATCCTCTACCCACCATACCAGTTCAAGCTTTTCTGCATCTCAACTCTACATTAAGAGGACTTAGCTTAGGAGGTAAGCATTTAATAGCATTAACAATAGAGTTTAAGGGGAGAAATGAAACTATAACTGATGTTTTAATGGTGATGGCACGCATTCACTCATTTCTTGGTGCATGGCCTTAGAAATAAAGATTTACGGTTGCTTCTTGAATATTATTTGTGTTGTTATTTATTCTGAATCAGAACCTAGACGATGAACCTAGAACTGCTCTGAATCAGAACCTCGACGATGAACCTAGAACTGCTCTGAATCAGAACCTCGACGATGAACCTAGAACTGCTCTGAATCAGAACCTCGACGATGAACCTAGAACTGCTCTGAATCAGAACCTAGACGATGAACCTAGAACTGCTCTGAATCAGAACCTAGACGATGAACCTAGAACTGTTCTGAATCAGAACCTAGACGATGAACCTAGAACTGCTCTGAATCAGAACCTAGACGATGAACCTAGAACTGCTCTGAATCAGAACCTAGACGATGTTCGTGAATTTATAGTCAAGGGGAAGAGATCATTATTTTTTACTATTGAATTCAGAAAGCCATTAGAGAAATATAAAGATCTGTAAATTTTATCCCTTACCTGTTACGCATTTATTATTGGTATCTGTACCTATTAATTATTTTAATAAGATAGTTTCGGAGCAGTTTGTCTACTGTTTGTTAGGTTGTTTACAATTGTTCAGAAGAGCAAGAATAGTGTTTAAACGTTCTAATTTTCTATTCTTCTTCAAATAATTTAGGTTCGGCGCTGCAATGCGATTGCCGCATCCGCTGGATTGCGGAATGGGTGCAGGCCCGTGACTTGCAAGTTACCAGCCGAGAACGCAATCCTCAATTCTGCGGAAGCCCAGAACACCTCAGGAAACGGAATTTCTTCCAGTTGCTCCCATCGGATATGATATGCGATAATGAGACACAACGCCACCCGACTAAGAGACCTAAGAGACTAAATGTCGGATTCGAAGATGGGTCAAATAACGTCAAAGATACAGCAGATAACATTGTACAAATTGTAACCTTGGACACACATGTCGATATAACAGGTACAACAAAAGGTAAGAAGCATAACTTCAGATCTATTCAATTTATATTTAAAACTGGAGTTTTCTTTTTTGGGGGGGGCTGGCATATATTATAAAACAGCCAATCCAGTTTGTCTCAAGAATTAGCAGCTAACTTACATCATTCTTTGCTAAAACTAAAAGGGCTCATTGAGGATTGGAGTTACCTAAAATTTCGCATTTTTATTTAAAATGAGAAACAGAGGAAAAGAAAAAGAAAAAAAAAAAAAAAAGAGAGAGAGAGAGAGATTAACCCCTTAACCTACGATTTAGATTCGAAGATGAAGGGCCGAAATTGTATACAAGCTCGCGCAGCGTTCGGGACATTTGCACGACTTGTATAACACGCTAATCCGGGCAATCGTAAACATGACGAATTATGTAATTTTCGAAGAAAGTACAGGTGAATAGTTATTGATGATACATCCGATGACAATCAACTACCAGAGTCCTGGCTTTGGAAAGAAATAAGAAATAGTCCAAAAATCTGGGACTATACGATGACTCCTGGCATAAGAGAGGAAGCCTTATGTCAATTAGGAGGAAGTAGAGGAGAATTTGATATATTTAATCTAATATTTGATGACATATTTAGGAACAATATTGTAACCGAAACGAATCAGCATGCAGATCAAGTACGAGAAAATCCACATAAAACACGAGTGTAAAAAGTGTAAAGTTCCGTTACATGTAGTATCAGAATGCTTTGAAGTATATCATACCGTTACAAATTACCAATTTTGTATTTTGGAGTTTTGTATAAATAAACATTTTGTAATACTTGCGTCTACCACAATTATTGCATCAGACTGTAATTGCGTATCAAATATTCCACGTAATATTCACTTCTGGCCCGATCACCGTACGCGGGCTATGCCCGTGAAAGTTAGGTTTGGCCCGACCATCGTACGCGGGCTATGCCAGTGAAAGTTAGGTTTGGCCCGACCTACGCGGGCTATGCCGTATACGTCATTGTAGATTACGGGGTTAAGTACTTCAGAATTTACTAAACATTTCACAACCAACAATATTACCAACCGTTACCACAGTTTAAAAACTGTTTATCATTCTGGTAAATTTTTCGTCGCTACTGTATGCACTCCAAATTTTATACCAGCTATGTATAAAAAATTATTAAAGACCAGTCCTATTACGAGCTGTTCATATTTGACGTTAAAATATATTCTAATTTTACCGATATTATCATTTTGATTTCTATTCAATTATTAACGATAAAACAGACAGAAATGTGTTTCAAATCCTTTTTATCATTCTTATAAGCTTCATCAGATAAGAAGTTGCAATTTTTTTCTGCCATGTATTTATTTTATTTCTTTTCCAAGCTGATACCAAAGCTGACACGACGCCAATCGAAGATCTTCCGGTGCGCAGTGGAACATCCAGTGTTAGAAAAAAGGAAAACAAATCTATCCGTATCAAGCACGCTTATAAAAGGGATTCAACGCTAGTTCTGGAATGGGAATCCACAACAGAACCGATCTTGGGCTATCAGGTGAGAAAAGCCTCAGAGTATTTCTCTGTAAATATGATATAAAATCATCTTAAGAGTGCTGATCCGATTTTTCTTCTTCTACCCTTCCTCACCCCCCAAAACAAACTGAAAGGCCTTGGCTAATAATAATACAAAATTTTTAAATTCCTATTAAATACTAGAAAGGTGCTGAAAACTTGTGTATCTGCATAGCAAAATGTGCAAATCCATTACTGACACAAGAAATCAAAATCAGTTTTGTTGTTATTATTTTCAAATAATGAGAAATACTGATACTTAACGGCTATCCCAGCACACATTATTTGCCGCCAAGAAACTTCTTTAAAATAAAACATCTTCAGTCATATCTTGGTTAGCGTTAAGATTGCATTGGATTATGGCAGTACGTGTCAGGGCCATCTCTATAAAGGGATGGATGTTCTATGAAACAGTACTTATAACTGTAACACGTTCTATGAAAACAGTACTTATATTCATGTTTCACATAGGAAAACTACGAAAATTTCCAAACAGTTAGCGCGTTCGCCAGGATTTGAACCCTCGTCGAATTACCAATGTTCGGCGATCTTAGAATTCGACATTTGGCAGACATTAGTAATCTTTATTTACTGTAGCGCAGAATTTTCCTTCGAACAACCCGTAAATGTTAGTCACCTGATGGCCACTCATTATAATTATCCATTAACGTGTTTGCAATTCTATTTTCAATTACTTTCAAAAAACGTATGCTTGCTTCGCGACAAATACCTCCGACAGTCCATTGTTCGACGATTATTTTCCAGTATGGATTTTTCCGTTTTTGTACAGCCACGTGCAATGGCAAAAATATAAGTGATACTAACAAATACTTTTTGGTATTTTTATCTTCTGCAGAATTTTCTGAATTAATTTGTTGTTTATTTTCATCTTTCAGGCTTAATTTATATGTTTTGCTTACTGTCGGAAAATTTTGTTGCGCGTTCTTTGGCTTTTGCACTCTCTTCTAAACGTGGTGGTACCGATTCGACCAATTTTTAGACGTTATCGGAAGATATTTTATCCCTTCTTGCAACACTTGTTTTAAATGCACTTTGTTTTTAATTTTGTGTTTTGGGACCGACATTGATGTTTGATGTCTGATGACTGTGGTGGTGTGTGTAACTGCTATTAACAATGAAAAGGGACACCACATTTTGACATTATGTGCCGTGTGTTTGGGGTATTGTCGTGCTGGGATACGGATTTCCATCTAAACGTAACTTTCTTGCACTTTCTTTTACATTATTGTGGAATATACCCAAGAAAACCATATGATTCATAATGCCATTTATAAAAACTAAATTTCCTACCCTAGAAGCCATACAACCCCAAACCATTACGAAGCCACCACCATATTTAACTGTAGTGCGTAAAATTTTTGGATCCAAAGCGATGTTGAGCTTTCCCCAAACGGTGCGACGGCCGTCACTGCCGAAAATGTTGAATTTACTTTCATCTGCGAATATAACTTTCTTCTAAAGTTATTCTTCTTCAATTGATGAGCTTTTGCAAACACCAAATGCTTTTTCTGATTTTGCCAAGCTGATGAATAGTTTCTTTCCAGCAACTCTACTTTTATATCCAGCTTATCTAATTACATTTCGCACAATTTCAGCACTTAACACTTTTGCCAATGATTTGAGAAGTTTCTGTAGCAAGTTTGACTGCACTTACTTTAGGATCAATATTGATATCTTTTAAAATTTTCCTTTTGCTGACATCACTCAAAATACCTTTCCTTCCTCTTCCATTTTTATTTTCAATCAATCCAGCATTTTTTAAATTGCCAGTGATTTTCTAGACACACACGTCACTTCTACCAATAATTTTAGCTATTTCACGGTACGATTTTATTTTTTTTTTTATATATAATCTTAATACGAATTTTCTTACGTCAATACTGTTTCTCTTCGAGGAGTAATTTTCTATTTAAAAATGAAGCTTTAAATTCATATAACAAACTTCATCACAAAAGTGAAAAGGTTTAAGGTAAGATTATGCAACAGTTTATTAAAATAGAAGTGTATGTAGAAAAAACGTAGTGGTAGTTAAACATATTTTGGTACTTTTCCGTTTTGCCGGCGCAAATCTCGCCAAGCAGACTTTGTTGGCGACAACATACAGTATACACATAAAAAATGTTAACAAACGTTAGTTCTAAGAATTTTTTATTTTGAAGGCATAAACATTTTAATGTGGTTTAAAATTTTATAAAAAGCCAATAAATAAAGACAATAAATTTGTAAAAAGGCATTAATTTAAGAATTTATTATGCTTTCAAGGTTCAACATCCTGATTCGCCGATTCGTATCACGTGACCCTAAGTTATCTCATATCACGTAAACTACGCTACACAAATCTATTTCAGTAATTATCTACATTAATTTAAAGTTAAATCTTAATTTGGAATACAAGTTTAAATGCAAGAATTATTTCAATTCGTACGAATAGCTTACTCAGCAATTATATAAAATCGCAGTGCTTTACTTCGCTAGTGCATTGTCATTAGAATTGATGAATTTAACCCTTAATTTTGCCTTTTCTTTATTTTCAGGTAAGCGGTGGGATTGTACTCTAATTGACTTAATTACCGCGAATGGTTTTAGGGCATAAAATTTAACTATCTTGTAAAAATTCTATGTAACTGTATGCCAGTATTGAAACAAACAATCAATCTGATAAGAAATGGCTGCGACTTGTTTTGGAAATGAGGCGTAAAAGGTTACCAGCGAAGATATTCCGTTTGGCATCAGTTGTACCATTCTTGGCGACTTTATCGTTTGAGCCGGCAAAACGGAAAAGTACCCTTTTTATTGGTGTATTCTAAACTTTTTAGACAAAAATCTGCCTATGTTTATTTAAAATGCTTCTGAAATTTTTCATTTAACGATTTTTTTGTTGATTGTTCTTTATTTTTATTTTCAATTAAATTAATTGTTATGTGTAAAAATAAAAATGTGTTTTCGCTTCTTGGTAATGTATTAGTTACGTTGAAAGTTAGATTTATCAAGTAAAAGTAAGGTGTATTTTCAATTGTTTGGGCCACCGTAAGTGGTGCGTGATTAGATGTTAATAGTTTTACAATTTTAACAGTTACCTAAATGGATTTGCTTTTTCTGTGCAGGTTTTAATCCGTATGTTCGGCAGTCGCGATTTAAAAAGAATTGTGCCTGTTCCAAGCGAGAGGCGCCAACTACAACTCGAGCATTTGCCACTCAGTCAGTGTCTTGTGGTGTGTGTCATTGACTACGAAGAACCTTCCACCATCAAAGTTGACAGCATACCTTCTAGACAATGCAGAGAACTGAAAGGTAGGTACTACTCAAAAAATTGTCGCAAAGAAATGACAAATACCCAGTGCAACGCTGAACATTTCTACGCTTATCTAAAATAACAGAGTTTAATGCCAGAATTTGAGGATTAGTTATGTTCGAATTAATGAAAAAAAAAATATACTATTCATATTATAGATAAATGCGATAAAAAATGAGAACAGAGAAAAATAGAATACATCAAAAAAATTTCAAACAAAATAAAGATCGCACCTCATTGAATAAAGTTCTCCATCTATAATATTGTGCAAATTAATATGAATACATAATATGTATTAATTTTAATACAGTAGTATTATACCACGACCAAGTAGGAAAAAGTGAAAGGAAAGTTACGTTAATATTTAATACATCATCTGTCCACTTTTATAGCATTTCAGATCTTTTTGGCATAGATCACAGATCATGATGCTGCATCACATCTTAATTAATAAAAATATTTACTTAGTTTTTGAAAATGATGATCTAAGGCTTTGATGTAAATTTTAAAATAGGCGCAGAAGCGCATAGAAAAACAGAGGGCGATATATTGGGACAAAAATTGAGATAGCTACTCTAGTTAGATGAGCGTGATAGATGTGCGTTTGAGTCCTGGATATCAAAAGACCTTCAACTGTGAAAGCCCAGGATACTTGTGGGTATCTGAATATGGCAAGGCATAGGAGGGCTATCAGCCTAAGAAAAGGATGGTTTTTCAAATGGATGATTTTCCTTCATGGATGATTTTCAAAGAGAAACTAATTAACATTTACACTACACATAGGAAAACCATGACAACCAACCACAAAACTACCCCGTTCACCTGTGATCGAGCCCACCAGCAGCCGAGCGGTAGTCGCTGAACACTGGTAGTTCGGTCCGAGGTTCGAATCCCGCGAACGGGCTGGCTGCATGGGTGTTTTCGTGGTTTTCCCCATGTGTAACGTGTATACGAGCCAGTTTCCCTTAGAAAGTCCTCCACGAAGGCATCCCTCCCCTTAGGCAGATAGCCCTAGTGTGCTTTGCCATAATTAAATACACCACCACACCACCACCTGTGATCGAACCCGGCACGTACTCCCAGTATTCAGCGGTCTTAACCACTGGTAAGTCACTCAGCCATAGTAGGTCCAGACTACTTGATCTCTGGGGAATCATCATCGAGCATTAACATGCGGTTCGAGGACGCTTCACAGTTTGTTCAGTTGTGGAATCATAATCCACTGTAGAGTGTAAATACAGAATCTTCTTGACGATCAATGAACTAGCATTTTATACTCTTCTAGCCATCTAGCTGAACTATACTCACAGCACAATTCAATAACCTTAATTACCGGCTATCGCTTACGGATAGTCTCTTATCTACTATCGCTTACGGATAGTCTTACAGTCTCTTAATCCTAGTATTACGCAACCTGAATCTGAAATGTAGGGAAATACGCTATCTTCAAACATTTTTCCATTTGACTTGTGTTTTAACTTCACCTAAATGGGCGCAGAACAGAAACAAAACATATGAACAAAACAAAAAAAAGGGGGGTACTTTGGTGTAAACATTTCGCATAATTACTGAAGGCAAATGTTAAATAATTATACAATTTTCTTTGCAGCATTTTTTTTTTTTCGTTACCCTTTTAATGTACATTATATGAATAAACTTTAGGAAGTTTATATTCGGAAACATCATGCTCCGTGAGTTAGCTATGAAACTTTTCAAATGTTGATAAAAATACAAACTACTGCTATAGAAGCAAGTTTCAGACTATCCGTAAATACTCGCACACATTCATAGGAAAAGTCACTCTAATATCACAGGATTTTCCAGCTAACATTGGCTTTTTCAGCAAAAATCTACATCTGAAGACTGCATGCGATACTTTCGAACTACCTCTCTGATTATGATATAAATGAGCTATCATTGGGGAAATATACATGTTTAATATTACGACAACATTATATTAAGACGATATCTAAATAACGTCAAAATTCTTTAATACGAATATAACGCAAAATATCGACAATCAAATATCGGCGCGAGCGACGGAAAATATCAACCCAAACGATATAAGTATCTTAAAGATAAAATTTTTATGTGGCATATATATCTTTACTAATATCCTCTTTTGTATTTCTAGGTGATGACAGCAGGATACTGTCACTAGACAAAATCGTGATAGCTGCATCAGCTGTCATCTGTGTCGTGGTCATTATCGGAGCACTAGTGATTATCCTTTTTTACTTTCGACGGCGAGATATTCTGGCCACACCTTCATCATCCATGCATCGACACTCGGACGCTCCAGCAGTTTTGCCAGCTCTTGTGAAACAGCCACCACCTGAAACAGATTGGGAAACACTGTCTTGGAACAGCGGGCGCAGCACGCCCAAAACTAATGTGCATAACTGCCTCATGAGCAAATCAGGAAGCACCAGCCATAGCTTCGTACTGAATGACGGACAACTCCAAGACTCACATAAAGGAAGCAGAGTAATACCTAACGGCTTCTCGAAATCTTATTCTACCCATGATAACGAGTCGAGATTGTCGTATTCTCACATATCAGCTAAGGTGAGTTAGCTGTTTTCACAAGACTAAATCCAGTTTTAGTTTGCCTGGCACCCAATTTTGCTAATACTTAAGATTTTTAAACCTTAAACTACATAAGTCAAATTGAAAGCCGCCAGCATGAAATAAGGCAAAACAGTAACCTTAGTTTGGCATAGATTGCAAATAACTTCTCGACAGATGACGCTACGTTCGCATTCGCTTTGTTCTGCGCATTGCTTTCCAATATAAATATGGTTGTCGCCTCTCCCATAGTGCAGCCGTCTCTCTCTTGCAGCAAATGGCTCTTTATGACCTCGCTTGAAATCGACAGAATTTTATTTAAAATCTATGCCAAACTACAGCTGGTTGTTTTGCTTAATTTTAACTGCATTTTCTCTTTGTCAAATTTACGTATGTATCATAATTTAATGAAATTACTACATAAGATTTCCTTAAACTGATTTCGCACACTAATAAAACTCATGAACTTTTCTTTTATATTTTAAATTTTACAGTATTTCATTAATTTATTGCAAAGTTTTCCCCTTGATTGATATTTTCGAATTTTCTTTTTTACGTAGGAAAAATTCTAGTGCTTAACGATTCTAGTGCTCTTAGCTGTCTTCGTTTTAGTTTTTACCTTTAGCTTTCTGCTTGTATTTTCATGGTTTGATATGGCTTACTTGATCATGGTAAAGCACTCGAGGGCGATCATGAAACCATGAAAATGCTCATGCAGCCAGCCCGTTGGTCGGAATTCGAACACTAAGAAAAGAATATATCCCTCATTTTGTAATAAATGCAGTTTTCACACGTCTTCCGGTCTCTCACATACTGAAAATATCCAGACTTGGTCATATATTTTGTAGATTTCATTTTTCTAATAAACTCTTCAATAATTGGTGAAAGATAAATTGAATATTTTAATATACTGTTTACTTTTCTGTAATCGATATCGAAACAGCAGGCCCTGAAATCGGTGGTAGAAAGACTGTTCTTTTTTCTGCATAGTTACTACATACGGACTTCTTGTGAGTATCATAATTTTGCTTTTCAGCATGTCCGATATATGCCCTTCTACGGATCTCCTCTTTATCGTAGTGGTAGAGTTCTGCTGTACATTGGAATTACTTCCTGTTTTGATCTGGTTCGATCGTGTGACTCACAACATGTGTTAACTCCGGGGTGTCATCAAATAAATCTCAAAAATTTCTTGCTAACTATCCGAGCTTTATTTTTTCTTCCGGATGTAGTATGGTAAAAAATCGTTTCAAAAAAAAAAAAAAAAAAGTCTGAACTTCTTCCATGGAAACTGGAAGATAATTTCACTGATGCCCGTATATAAATAAATAATTTATTGTGTTAACAATAAATCCGAATTTTTCCACCAGACTTACTGGTCCCGTAAGAACTAAAAGTTTTCGAGAACGCAGTCTAAAATCTGTGTTATCTTTCAACATATTTCGTGATGGAGTTGAGAGCCAATGCAGGGTTCTGCTATGCCTGTCTTGCGTTAAAAGTTCTGCGGACCCTATTAGACTAAAAGCGTTATTGCTTTAGTCTGAAGCAATAACAAGTCTTAAAAAGATTAAAATAACATATTTAGTGAACTCTTAAAATGAATAGAAAGTACAGTCAAAAGTCGTTAATCCGGACTCGTCGGGACTTCGGCGATTCCGGATTATCGATTTTTCCGGATTATAGATCATCAGTTTAAATCTGGTAAGATGGCATGCAGAAATTACAAAATTAAAAATATGAAACCGTAATTTATGAAATAAAGAACAATTATGATCTAAAGGGTATCAAAATTTACAAAAGAAAAAGCTTAATATTTTATTTGTTTACTTTATTAAACATTTCCTTCAATGTAAGTTGCTTCGTTTCATGTGATAATACTTTCTCTTTAATTCTATTAAACATACATAATTTCTTGTTTAGTTACAAAGTTCCGCTGTTCAAGTCCTATAATTGCTGTGTTGAGAATACCGATTAATTTGTCAATCGAAATGTTTTCGTTTTCAATAACCTCTGGGTCACTTTCTTCACTATCGGAAGCGAATTATAATGACAAGGAACTTGATTTAAATCATATCAAAGATAGAATGAAATACTACACTTAGTATGGAAGTATAAACCAAATAAATAAAAAAACATCTGCCCTGAAGATAAGGATAGTGCTGACAGATCAACTTCCAATCCGCCGCGTGAAATTGATAAACAGATTTCGGATCTCAAAAACATACTTTCGCTTTGGTAGATACAAATTACATATTAGTAAATATATATCGGAAATTCTATTTGACATAATCTTTCTAATCTATCATAATCTAATAATGACGTTTCTGCCCCTCCCCCTCTGCCGCAGAGCAGCGTGAAATTGATAAACAGATTTCGGATTTCAAAACACACTTTCGCTTTGTAGTAAATATATATCGGAAATTCTATTTGACATAATCGAAAGTTCAAGCTTACTTTTATAAAACCGCTCTAACAGTCTGCAAAAAATAATAAGCCGGATCCAATTCGAAGATTAAGGAACAACGCAATCGGCAACATTATAACTCCGTTACAATTTAAACGCGCATGCGCACAAACATATTCGCAGCCGTAAGGGTCTTACGCGCTCTCGTAAACGCCTGTGCGCATGCGTGAACGCGACGCATGCGCAGAAAATTTGTAGCTTTGAGGTCCGGATTATAGATCATTCCGGATTATGGGTGTCCGAATTAACGACTTTTGACTGTACTACTTTTTTGCGACAGACGAGCCTCCGCTACTTGCGGGCAATTAAATTAACAGAAAATAAAGTTTAATTTAAATGTATATGACGTAGTCTGATATAACACATAATAGACTACTTAAGCTGGCTCAAGATAAATACTGGCGGATATTTAAATGGTAGCTAGAAAGATGTTAAAGCCGAAACAAACTTTGGCAGAGCTAGCGATAGTAAGTGACAACAGGGCAACCTGCCAGAAGCGCTAACCCTAAAATATCCAAACCCTCAGCTTTAATGCGTATACAACTAATTTGCATGCTGGTGAAGACTACGGAAAGAAGTTAAAGTAAAGGTTCGCTTCATAATAACTAGCTAATTAACATAAAATACTACCATGATATAAATGTATCATCACAAATTTCTTGTAACGATGTTTCGAATAACTGTAAAAATGACTAATAAGTACAATTTTTCTTCTACACAGATCTCACAAAACAATCTGGACATTCAAAGATCCAAATCCTTGACAAGACCCCATGGCTACCAACCTTACAGCGGTGGCCATACAAAGAGAAAGAAGCACAGACAAAACGGCCGTTTGGCATCTGCTAGTTCTTCAACGGAATGCGAATCAGACTGGAATAGTAGATCTATATGGAAAGACAACGATGTAGACATTTACATCAGCCAAAACCATATGGTGCCAGGCAGCCGCAAGTACAGGAAGGATTACAGCATAAGATGAACAACATAAGCCAATCTTCCCACCAACAAACTCCGCGCATTAAAAAAAAAAAGTTTGTGAAAACTTTACTATAAGTTCGTCTAGGAGAATACAATAAGTGATAACAGCTATGCTGGTTCGTAGACCAAAATACAAGAACGATCTTAAAATGAAGGCTATAATTTCAGTAACTAAGAATATTACAGATGGTAAAAACTAACAAAATTATACTTATCATATGCGTGCAGATATACTACACATTAAAAAAAAAAAAAAAAAAAAAGACTTTTGAAGGATCCGATAGTGGTCTTCATTGGACAATGATCGATTTCAGAAATTTGTGCAAACAGCATGACGGAAAAAGTGTGTTTTATAGACCTATTGTAAATATGATTTTGAGAAGCATCGAAATGTACAACGAAATACACATGGATTGTATAAACATTGAATATAACTGCATGTGATTTCCTCAAAGCAAGTTTTTCTTCTACAAAAGTCTTTTCAAATGTTTTATAACGATATACTTTAAAAGCAAAATAAATTATATTTGTCGTCCGTGATCATATTTGTTACTACAATAATGAAGAAATTAATTATCTTGAAAACATTCAGTATACTTAAGGATGACTAATGCACGTGAATATGATTTTACTTAAATGTAGATATCATGCATCTTCGATTCATCTGTAAGGCTTTTGTGAAACTTTTACTACGAAAGCCTACAATTAAATTTCTCCGTAAAAATTCAATTTGTGATTGATTATTGCTTCTATATATACACACCCCTCTCTCCACAAAAGTTTTCCCCATTCTTTATTTTCGCAATCGCTGGTCGCAGACATATACTTCTAAAAATATTTTAAATAATGCAAATATTCATTCTAATTTAAAAACTCAATTTTGTAAAAATTACGCAACCTAACTTTTCATACGTTCCCCCATCTCTAAATTTACAGAAAGGAAAATGTTATACTCATTATAAAACTTAAAATATAAAAAGTGTGACTTTCGTATAGCAAAAATTGAGTAAGTTAATTTAAGTTACTCAATTTAGCTATTTTTAAGGATTTTACAGCGCCAGAAAATCGTATTTATCAACCTCCTTGAAGGGTTAGTTAAAAAATAAATTAGTAAATCGAGGGTGTTTTTATTTTCATTTAAGGCCATTAACTATTTCTTCGTGTTTTACCAACGTGTAACACATACACAAACACGCAATGAAGGAGCAGAAAAAGAAAAGAAAAAAAAAAAAAAAACAATACAGATTACCCTCTTCTGAATAGACACTTGTGGAATATTCTAGAGCTTTACCCGTTCTGAGAATGGCAAGTTTTTATGATTTATGTAATTTTTAATACGGTTTAATAGACGGCTTTCGTGAGAGGAAATAGCATTTCGGAGATAGAAGCGAAGTTTAGTTTTTCGCTTATGACCATTTCAAAAAGGCAGCTTACATGAATTCCAGCAAAACTTTGAACTGAATGACTATAGTATGGCTGTAAAAGGGCTCTAAATGAACATGGCCAGCATTAACTGGAAAGAATTATTCAATACAATGGTACTGGCCAATAGAAACTATCAACGTGAGAATTGTGAACTGTTTTCTTTATCATGTGGGCTTCAGGAGCTGAAAACTAACCAGAGTATCCCTGAAAAAAGCACGGCACAGAAATTATGCAACTGGCCTTGGCTCGGCAATTTGACCATCAGACATTTGATGATAAGAAGTGTGATATAACGACTGGCATTCTCGACTGTTTCTGGTAGATAGGAGGATCAATGCGGATGAAGAAAATTTCATGAATGTAGGATGAATTCTTCAACAAGAAAGCATGATGTTCATTCCCAATAGAACACTCCCATATAAGCTTGCACTTGACGTAATTCTACGCCTCCACGAAGTGCTCTTAAATTTTAATTTGGAGTACCAGTATTACGCTTACATACTGTAAGGGTTTCAATACCAGTAGATTTTAGAAGTTATCGATACATACATTTATGATCATTCGATACTAAAATCCAAAATATCCCCAAAAATATTTAAATTTTGAGCATTTACCACGGAACGACAGTAAATGTCAGAATCTATCAAATAGTTATGATAAAATTATTAATAGTTCTGATAAAATAGTAAAATATCAAATAGTTCTGATAATAATTTTATCGACATAAATTACGGTCATAAAAATTTAATTCATCAATGTTACAAAAATAGCTGCAATAAACTGATTTTTTTTAATGTAAAATTTATATCACTGAATCTTTGCATTATTTACGACAGTATTACATTTTTATTAATTATCCGAAAAAGTTTGTCCTTTCTTAAATATCTATTTCTTTGTTGAAGCTCATGAAAGCACTTAACACACAACATCAAACTTCCTAAGAAACCGAAATCAAACCAGATGATTGCAAGAGAAACATAAAATACAATACGCAAAGAACTTATCTATGAGACCAGAATGACAGTGAGACAGAAAAGCTTTTAGCAATCCACATGCTTGATAATTATCAACATTCGTTGGTATAAAAATCCAAAGTTTTAATATTTCAGTCTAATTTTGGACTTTTACCACTTGATACTGGGAAATGTTAGACTAACTATTAAATTTTATGATTTATATGTCTTTGAAAACTTTCGCTATCTAATAATAATAATAATAATACACTATATAGCCAAATATACCAGATACCCAGAGGTACGGACTCGGAGAGTCCTGAGATATATATTAATATGATATCGGTCCCATTTTTGCAATGACATCGTGACAGCCTGCACACGTCTGGAGAGAATTGCCACCAGCTTTTAATAGGTTGGCCATAGGTATTGACTTAAAAGTGTCCATCACATATGAGCTTGAAGTGAGAGCTGGCAGTTAGGATGATCGATTTGGCTGGCTGCATAATCTGCGTTCTAATTAGTCTTAAAGACATTCTGTGGGATTTAGAGGGCTCTGAGAAAACCAGTCGAGTTTTTGAACACCTATTTCATCAAACCATAACTGCGCAAGTCTCGAAGTGTGAATGGGGCAGTTATCGTGCTGGAAGAGAAACGGGCTTTCCACGAAATATTGCCATAGAGTTGGGAGAGCAGCATCGTCCAGGATGCCCACATACTATATCTCAGAGTTCATGTTTCCAGCTACAGGGACCTAGGCCAAACCATGAAAGATACCCCCACACCATGATGCTGCCACCATCAAACTTTACAGCCGGTACAGATGCACTTACTTAAGAAGTGCTCACCGGGCATCTGCCAAACACAGACGCGTCTATCGGACTGTCAGATTGGATAGCGAGATTCATCACTCTAAAGAACATTTTCCCACATGTCCAATGACGGTGAGCTTTGCACCACTGCAACCGACGTTTCGCATTCTGGGATGTGATGTTCGGCTTGTGAGCGGCTGCGCGACCACAGAATCCCAGGTTTTTTTTAACTCTCGACGAACACTCCTGCGGCTAGTACTAACGCCTGATGAACTTTGAAACTCCTGAGTGATTTCAACCAACGAGGACTTTCGATGTTGTTAACATAACACAATAATATGGCAATATAATTTCGTGTCAACATCCTTTTGATTGAGATACGGAGATAAAAAGAGATCTGGACAAAAAAGGTGAAAATCGAAAATAATAGTATCTCCGGTGCTAAAAATAAAACACTAGAAAATTAGAGAATAACAAACCACCGTTTCTTTCTTTTTAAAAATGTTTGCCTCTGACAAATGCAATAAATAATTTGAAACATCCAACAACAAAAACAAATTATCTTCGCTTGAATTCTGATTGCATGTAAGATACAGCCCACCATATCTTACACCATAAGGTTACAGTAGAATACAGAGTGACAAGATAAATCTTTCTCGCCTCCCCCTTCCCTCCAATTTCTCAAGCATCATATGTATTGCCCTAGCGTTAGCAATACTTTTCATACCCTAGCATTAGCAATTCGCTCCTCCAACTGTAAATAATTAATCTCAAATTTATGTGGTTTAAAAAAAAAAAAAAAAAAAAAAAAAAAAAAGGTTTCAGATTTTAAATTACGTCCAAAGAGGTGGGTTTTTTTTATCATAGCATGACCCATTAAATTCTTTTGTTTTCTTCGCTTTTTATTTTTATTTTAATTTTTGTTTTTTAACTTCGTTCACAAAGTTTAAACTCTATAAGCTAATAGGCCCTCCTTAAAAATCTTGTATTTTTTACTAATAGCAAATCGCTATTTATTTTATTTTGTACATTTGCCTAACCAGGCCATTATGTATAAGTTTTTTCCTTACACCTTAATGTGGTTTTTTCAAGCGGACTCGTCGGGAATGGAACAGAGAATTGAAGACTAAAGTTTTTGACTAAGTTTTTTAAGTTTTCAATTAATATTCAAAAATAGAGTTTCGTGTACAGTTTCAAATTGTCCTGTTTCGACGAAACGCGATATGGAATTAGCTGGATTCGAAAATCATTATGTATTTCCCCTGAAGAGTCGATAATGAGATTCGATTTGGGCTAACTTACCGTTTACCGCTTTTTTGTTTTTGTATTTTTCTTTTTTATATCACACTTTTATTCTATCGTTTAAAGTTTGCTTTATCTTGATCAACATGTTACTTGCAATTAGATCTGAATATTATTTGTAAATATTCTAGTAATAATATTGTTTATTTAATGTTTACACTTTTCATTGCACTTTATTTTACTTATGTTAAATTTTTTTTCACCGGAACCACAGTATCAGAAGCACTAAGAATATTCTTTTTACCTTGTTTTCTAATTTTTGCAGCTGAATGCGCAAAAGTTCTTGACCACAAAAATCTTTTTTAATTTGTTCTCCTTTCTTTAATTATATATATATATATATAAAATTTTGTGTGTTACCGTTATTTATTAAATATCATGACTTAAAACATAAAATTCAGTTCTAGAGCAACTTCGCAAAATAATTTTAAAATGAGCATGTCTTTAGAATTTCCGATACACAGTCTCGCGCGCTGGAGATGCACAACGTTACCATCGCTCGCTTTTAAATCGTTGCCCAAACTTTGTTCACCCAAAAGAAATTGATTTGATTTTAGAAGCTGGTTACTTTCTTTTTTCTCCCCTTTTTTTCAACTTCAGGTTTTTTTCTACCTGAAGGTCACAAGTGTTTAGGGGATTTTACTGCATTAAAAAAAATTATTACGAAATAAGTCCCCCAAAATATATAATTTTTATTATTTTATGCCTTTCCTAATTAAATAATTTGTTAAAAAATTCATAAAACACTTTTTTTTTTCTTTTTTCGCACGG